TTCTAGGCCCTTCCCTTATATACACATGAAGGAGGTTTAAATAGATGTAGTGTTCCTCAATCTTTGTCTCACAAATCTATTACAGTGATGTATTATCTTTTGAACTCCTCAGGGATTTAAAAAATGAATTCTGTCATTACATGGCACATGATAAAAATTTGATTTTAAGCAGGAAGCATCTTAGATCAACATATTCACATGCTCTATGATATTCATGCCATAAGAGAAAAACTGTCTACATTTAATCATTCAACAATTGCTATTCAATTTATTTCAAATTGGATATGTAAGAAAAAGGATGTTTTGATGAAATATTAAAAAATACACTTCTGGCAGTAAGGAGGGGAGCAAAATATATTTATTTAAATATATATTATAATATGTAATATGATATATAATAAATATAAAATATTATTTACCAGATTTTTTAAAAGGTCAAAATCTACTTTTAATTCCCAAATTTTGGAAATTATATGGGATTAAAAGGATGTGCAAATTTATTTTTGTAATTTTTGTATCTTTCCTCAATATGGTAAAAACATTTTAAGCTGCTATTTATGGGAAATTCTCTACAATGAAAGAGATAGTGTTTTACCTCTCACATATAGAAAGCCAAATTGGATCACAGTCACTAAATGTTTACCTTTTTAAAATTGTATTTTGCTGTCCTAGAAACATTGATGCATGTTATATCTTATAATTTGTTAAGTAAGGTGGGAATGAATTTAACTTTCATATTTAGCAATAAGCATATTTAGATAGATGCATTTGTATATTACCTTTTATGTTCATTAACACAAGCCAATGTTCCATGAGCTTCCTGTTTTAAAAAAAAAACTTTAAGAAAATAGTTATTTTTATTGTATTTGAAAGGACAAGAAAGAGAGGCACACAAAGATCTTCCATCCAGAGAGACAGAGAGCTCTACTATGCCCTGGTTACTCCTCAGCCAGGACAGGGCCATGCCATCACCAGGAGCAGGAACTGCATTCCAGGTCTCCCCTATCACCTGCTGCATCCCATGTACACATTAGCAGGAACCTGCAATGGAGAGTGGAGCTGGGACTCAAAACACAGAGATTCCAATATGGAGTGTGGGCACCCCAAATAGCAGCTTAACTGCTGTGCCAAACACCCACCCTTGAGCTTCCCATCTTTAATCAACAGCCCATTTTATATATATGAATTAGGCAGTATGTCAATACATATGACAGAAAAAAATTTTTAAAGATCTTTTTTATTTATTTGAGAGGTAGAGTACAGACAGTGAGAGGGAGAGATAGAGAAAAGGGTCTTCCATCTGCTGGTTCACTCCTCAGTTAGCTGCAGCAGTTGGAGCTGAGCTGATCTGAAGCCAGGAGCCAGGAGCTTCCTCCAAGTCTCCGACGCGGGTGCAGGGGCCCAAGGATTTGGGCCATCTTCCACTGCTTTCCCAGGCTGTAGCAGGGAGCTGGATCAGAAGAGGAGCATCTGGGACTCGAACAAGCACCAATATGGGATGCCAGCACTGAAGGCAGAGAATTACCCTACTACACCACAGGCCGGCTCCCAGAAAATTTTTTTAAAAAACCTAGAATTTGTATAATAGTCAAAAACACACAATGACATGAAGTCTGAGTGGTTTCCATTAACCCTACATGAATTGGCTGAAAGGCCCTCAGAACATTCTATTTTAAAAGTAGAATAATAGAGGGGCTGGTGCCGTGGCTCAGTAGATTAATCCTCGCCTGCGGCGCTGGCATCCCATATGAGTACCAGTTCTAGTCCCAGCTGCTCCTCTTCCAATCCAGTTCACTGCTGTGACCTGGGAAAGCAGTAGTAGAAAATGACCCAAGTCCTTAGGCCCCTGCACCCATGTGGGGGATCCAGAAGAAGCACCTGGCTCCTGACGTCAAATCGGCGCTGCTTGGGCCGTTGTGGCCATTTGGAGAGTGACCAATGGAAGGAAGACCTTTCTGTCTCTCCCTCTCACTGTCTGTAACTCTACCTCTCAAGTAAATAAAATCTTTTTTTAAAAAAGTAGGATAATAGAATAATTATTACTTTCTAGGTGACCTTGAGGTCCCATATAACACTTGTTCTACAAAGCTTGTAATAAGTCACAAGTTAGTTCAGTCTTGTTTCCGTTGGTCTGTTTTCTAGTTGCAGATATACTGCATTACTCTTAGTGACAGAGGCAGCTCCCCAAGTGTCCCGTTTTCCATCAATGGGCAGTCATGCACTTCTCCTACTGAATTTGTCTATGCCTTTTAGGAAAACATATTCTACGTTCTGCCTTTTGGAGCAAGTCAGGCTTTGTACAGGTGCTACTTCTTAGGAGAAACGTGTGTTTAGGTTTACTGCCTGTATGCAAATTAGGAAATTCCTAGATTAAAAATATTAGTGCTCCTTTCAGTACTTTTTAATTTTTCCTAGACTTAGTCTTTTAGAATTTGATTTAAAAAATGGGTGTTCACTCCTCATAGTTTTAGTGCCAGATCGTAACTGTTCTTTTCTTTTGCCAATTTGAATAGGAGGCTTTTTGTCTGTTCTTATATGACAAAACTCCCATGTCTTATATCACTGAACATTACTGGACTCATTTTGTAACTTTGGACAATTTCTCTAACCTTTCTGAGACTCACTTTCTTCATCTATGAAAAAGAGATGGTAGAACAGATTGAATATCCCTCATCTGGAAATCCAAAAACATTTTGAATGCTTATGTGATGTTACAAGTAGAAAATTCCACACCTGACATCATGTGATGACTTTCAAACAGAATGCCGGTACACTAAAAATATTGTATAAAACTACCTTCAGGAGATGTGTTTAAGGTGTAGTGACACATAAACGAATTTCATATTTTGATTTGGGTTCTATACACAAGGTATTACATATATGCACATATTCTAGAATTCTGAAATCCAAATACTTCCTGTTCCATGTATTGCATATAAGCAATACTCAACTCGTACCTACCTGGAATTGTTGAGCAAATTAAACAAGATAATCTGTATAGTGTTTAGCACCATACTTATGTAAGTGCTCCTAAATTTTAGCTGCCATCATCATCAATTCTCAACTTCAAAACTGTGAGCTCTGTTTCTTAATGGGAAGTAGTAAAACAATTTTTCAAAAGTTTCCATGTATACACAAGCTCCAAAAAATGTCTATAAGCTAAATAAATTATGTGACTCACATATGTAAATGACCATGTTTCAAATAAATATAGATAATGTAAATAAAAAAAGTTTCACTTAAAATTGTTTAAGAATTCATAGTAGCTTTTTGATAGTAATTTTCTTAATTCATGAGGTTTATAAGCTGAATAAATTATATGACACATATGTAAATAACTGTTTCAGGTAAATATAGATAATATTGTGACTAATAAAGATTCACTTAAAATTATTAAATAATTCATAGTAACTTTTTTGTATTAATTTTCTTAAATCATGTACTCTAAAAGTTAAATTGATTTTTATAAATGTTGAAAGAGGATCTATAAGCTTGAAAGAGGATCTGTAACCCCACTGTCCTTATCATTGTGCTCTTTCTTTTGTTGACATTTACTAATTCCATGATGCCTGCTTTAGGGATTTGATGGTCCAAAACATATGGTAGATTCATGTACACCACGGCTTTGTACAAGGTTTTGATGGAGTGTACCGTTTTCTTTCTTGTAGACTAACTGATGACACCCAACTATTTGTTGACATTGGGCTAAAACAATAGTATGAACTGATACTAGCAGAATGTAAGGTGGTTCTTCCCTACTTTGTATTGGGTGATGATGGTACCCTCCCCAGATTTGTGTGTGGAGGCCTCCCTCCTCCATCCTTCTATGGCTCCCTGAAGTAGTATTTACCATACTTTGTTTAGTCTCTCTTGAATCAAAGTGAGGGAAACAAACTGAAACAAGTTTAGATAAAACAAGAAATTACTGGAGAATTCCAAAGGAAAAGGTTGGGTGACCAAATCATGGAAAAGCAGACACAGCTGGGCTCTTGGAATCCGGATACTAAGAGAATAATCTCCCTCGGCCTCCTATCTATGCCTGTTGAGACTTCTCTCACAGGTCAAGAAGAGAGCAGGCTGCCACAGAACAGACTGAGCTATGCTGTCCCTGGCTGTATCCAGAATTCCTAGGGGAAAGGCTGTGCTCGCCCTGGTTTATGTCAGGTGCCTACCTCCGATCAGAAAGGTGGAATGTTAAAGTGGTCCAGCTTGAATCTGGCACCAGCTCCAGGTCAGTCTGGAATATCACAGTTCTCCAGGGGAATCAGAGGAGTGCAGTATAGAAGGGCTCATTCTCCAGAAGACATGCAGCAGAACCCTAGCTGTCCTCTAAAATACTGTCTTTGTTGTTTCCTTATGCAATAGATGACTGCAATGTGGCTTCTTGGAGAAAAATGTATTTTGTTCATTTCTTTGTCCCCAGACCTAAGAGGCATATTTTGTGTAAAACTTTGTTTAATAAATGAAGAACTGATGAGTTGGTATACTCCATTATGGTATACAAAGTGTTCATGTACGGTTTTCTTAGGGCGTTTTGTATCCAGTGAAAATTATCTGAGTTCGAGTTCTGGCCTGTTCATTTATGAGTCACCAAGCTCTGAGCTTCAGTCTCTTCCTCTGTAAACAGACTATATCTCTTCTATTACTATCCACATTTAGACAAGTAAATCTGCATTGAAAATAAAAATTACTGTAAGTGCACATAAAACTTATCTGTACTTTTCAAGGTTTGTTGTCTATTTATCAATGTCTCCCTTGTGGATCAGAAAATATAAAGCCATCAATTTGGCCGAACCAGATGGAATTATCTTTTCAGTGTCTTTCCAGCTGTACTCAGAGGGCACACAGGATCGATTTGTCTTTTGGTTGGCGTATATGGACTTTACTTTTTGGTTCTTAATTAATAGAGATTTCTGCAGATAAAGCTACTCTCCCAATGGATGATTAAGGAGAAATGACTTCCTTAAACATTTCACTATGTTCTTTCTACCACTTTTTAGGTTTTTGTCAAGCAGGAAAGGATTTGCGTCTGGTATCCCTGTGTATGGAACAAATCGACATCCCAGCAGGATTCCTCCTTGTGGGGGCCAAGTCTCCCAATCTTCCTGAACACATCCTCGTTTGTGCCGTAGACAAGCGATTTCTACCAGATGATCATGGGAAAAATGCACTTTTAGGTGAGTCTATCAGACCTGTAAAATTCCTTCCAAGAGGAGGGAGTTAAAATACACATTTATTTAAAATTACCCCAGATTTTTTAAGTAGATATCTGGAATTGTGAATTATATAGTTCAGTTCAAGTATGAAATTAGTTTTCATTTCTATTCATCCCCAAGCAGTTGTCTCAATTAAGAGACGTTTTTGACCAGATATTAATGGACAACCTGCAATGTTTTAAAAATTAATCTTTTATAAAGCGAAGTAGAATTCACTCTCAATAGTCATTGATTTGGAGTTGATGTTAAGTCAACTGTCAATTAGTCATCTATGGATTATCCATTTTGTAAGTTATTTGTCATTTTTTCATTACATCCAATATTCCAGTCTATACTTGATTATTGAAATTCTCATTTTATGTTTAAATAAATTCCAGCTCCCTGCTAGTACACCTGGGAGGCAGCAGATGATGGTTCAAGTAGTTGGATCCCTGGCACCACATGGAAAACAAGGATTGAGTTCTTGGCTCCTGACTTTGGTCTGGCCTAGTTGTTTTATGTGATTGAGGAGTGGCATAGTAGATGGGCAATCTCTCTGTCTCTCTGTCTGTGTCTCTGTCTCTCTCTCTCTTCCCCCACCCCCACTCCCTCCCCCTATTCCCTCTTCCTCCTCTTTCTCCCACCCTCCTTCTCTTTCAAATAAATAAAAACTATTTTAAAGGGAGCGGACATTTGGCACAGTGGCTTTAAATACCACTTGAGATGCCTACATACCATATTGGAATCGCAGATTCAAGTCTGGGCTACTTCATTCTGATCTATCTTCCCACTAACATGTACCTGAAAGGCAGTGGGTGGTGGCTGAAGTATTGAATCCCTGCCACCCACGTGGGAGACTTGAATTGGGTTCTGGACTCAATTTTGCCTGGTTCAGCCATGATGGTTGCAGCCATCTGGGGAGTGAACCAGCGGATGGAAGGTGTTTCTTTGTCTGTCTCACTGTTTCTCTCACTTTCTGCTTTTTAAATAAAGTAAAAATAAATAAATGCTTAAAAATTTTAAAAGTCAAAGTAAAAATAAATAAATGCTTAAAAATTTTAAAAGTCAAAGGTCAATGTGTCTGGAGTCTGTCAAAATGCTGCTTCCATGGATTCTGTAGCAAGGCCTGGAAATCTGAGAGTGAGAGAGGGAAGAAAGGAAGAGAGGAAGGGAAAGGAAGGGAAGAAAAGAAAAGAAATTGGGGGAAGGAGGCCGGCGCCGCGGCTCACTAGGCTAATCCTCCGCCTAGCGGCGCCGGCACACCGGGTTCTAGTCCCGGTCGGGGCGCCGGATTCTGTCCCGGTTGCCCCTCTTCCAGGCCAGCCCTCTGCTGTGGCCAGGGAGTGCAGTGGAGGATGGCCCAGGTGCTTGGGCCCTGCACCCCATGGGAGACCAGGAAAAGCACCTGGCTCCTGGCTCCTGCCATCGGATCAGCGCGGTGCGCCGGCCGCAGCGCGCCGGCCGCGGCGGCCATTGGAGGGTGAACCAACGGCAAAGGAAGACCTTTCTCTCTGTCTCTCTCTCTCACTGTCCACTCTGCCTGTCAAAAAATAATAAAAAAAAAAAAAGAAATTGGGGGAAGGGAAGGGAGGGAGGGAGGGAGAGAAGGAGAGAGAGGGAGAGGAAAAAAGAAAGAGGGGCAAAATGGTAGAGTTAGAAACGTACCAGGGAATTCTAATTCAATCCCATCAAGGTGGCATGTACCAATGCCATCTCACTAGTCCAAGTGATAAATTTCAGTTCACAATTGATCATAATGATAGGACTAAGAGTCAAAGGGATCATATAAACAAGACCAGTGTCTGGTCATACTAACTGATAGAATCAAAAAGGGAGAGAACGATCCAACATGGGAAGCAGGATACACAGCAGACTCATAGAATGGCAGATGTCCTAAACAGCACTCTGGCCTCAGAATCAGCCCTTAAGGCATTTGAATCTGGCTGAAGAGCCCATGGCCCATGAGAGTATTTTAGGCATGGAAAGCCAAGACACTCTGGCAAACAAACAAACAAACAAACAAACAAAAATACCCTAAATGAAAGATCTCTGCGAGTGAGATCCCAGTAGAAAGAATGGCCATCAAAGAAGGAGGTACCTTTCTCTGAAGGGAGGAGAGAACTTCCACTTTGACTATGGCCTTGTCTAAATAAGATTGGAGTTGGCAAACTCAAAAGGCTTCCATAGCCTTGGAAACTCATGACAAGAGCCTAGGGAGATTACTGACACCATAAACAAGAGTGTCAATTTGTTAAGTCAACAACAGGAGTCACTGCGCACTTGCTCTTCATGTAGGATCTCTGTCCTTAATGTGTTGTGCATTGTGAATTAATGCTATAACTAGTACTCAAATAGTATTTTACACTTTGTGCTTCTGTGTGGGTGCAAACTGTTGAAATCTTTACTTAATATGTACTAAATTGATCTGTATATAAAGAGAATTGAAAATGAATCTTGATGTGAATGGAATGGGAGAGGGAGCAGGAGATGGGAGGGTTGCGGGTGAGAGGGAAGTTATGGGGGTGGGGAGCCATTGTAATCCATAAACTGTACTTTGGAAATTTATATATTTATTAAATAAAAGTTAAAAAAAAAAAAAGAAAGAGGGGCAAAGGAAGGAAGAGAGGGTTGTAGGAAGGGGAAAGAAAAAGGAAAAGAGGGGCCAGTGTTGTGGTGCAATGGGCTAAGCCTCCACCCATATGGGTACTGGGTTCAAATCCTGTTCGGGAACTGGTTCAAGTTCATGCTGCTCCACTTCTGATCCAACTCCCTGTTAACACTGGGAAGGTAGCGGAAGATGGCCCAAGTGCTTGGGCCTCTGCTACCCACATGGGTGACTTGGGTGGAGTTCTAGGCTCCTGGATTAGCCCTGGCAGGAGAGGCCATTTGAGGTAAAACCAACAGGTAGAAGACATCTCTCTCTTTCTGTCTCTTCCTCCCTTTCTGTAACTCTGCCTTTCAAATAAATAGATAAATAAATGGAAGGAAGGAAGTTGCCTACCCTTCACTTGCTTTATGATAGTTTTTAAAGTTCTAAGCCTTGTCTTGGTGCATAGGAAAAGAGGTGCTAAAAGACTCTCAAAAGGGCACAGTGGGTAAAGCTGCAGCCTTTACCATGCATCCCATGTGGGAACCGGTTCAAGTCCCAACTGCTCCACTTCCAACCCAGCTCTCTACTATGGCCTGGGAAAGCAGTAAAGGATGGTCCAACTCCTTGGGCCTCCACATCACATCCACATGGGAGACTCATAAGAAGCTCTGGGCTCCTGGCTTTGGATCAATGCAGCTCCAGCAGTTTTGGCCAACTCGGGGGTGAACCAGCGGATAGAAGACCTTTCTCTCTCTCTCTCTCTTTCTCTCTCTCTCTCTCTCTCTCCCTCTCCTCTCTCTGTGTAATTCTGACTTTCAAATAAATAAATATTTTTAAAAAATACGGCTCTCAAAAAAGAGAATATGTTTCTCTTCATATTTTTTTCATGAAATTGAGCACATGTTGAATCTGGAAGCATAATGGTAAAGCTTATATTTTGCACTCCACCAGCAAAGAAGGTCCAGCTGTTCGTTTGTTCATTCATTCACTCATTCAGCAAATCACTCTTGTTTATATCTTTCCCCTCAGAAAGCGTACAGCTGGTAGACTATGGTAGAACACCTTTTTTTTTTAAAAATATTTATTTATTTATTTGAGAGGCAGAGTTACAGAGAGAGAAAGGAAGAGAGAGAGATCTTCCATCCTCTGGTTCACTCCTCAAATGGCCGCAAAGGCCAGAGCTGTGCCGATCCAAAGCCAGGAGCCAGGAGCTTCTTCTGGGTCTTCCATGTGGGTACAGGGGCCCAAGGACTTGGGCCGTCTTCCACTGCTTTTCCAGGTCATAGCAGAGAGCTGGATCAGAAGTGGAGCGTCTGGGACTTGAATCAGTGCCCATTTGGGATGCCAGCACTGTAGGCGGAGGCTTACCCTACTACACCATGTAACATGGAGCTAGCCCTGTTACAACAATTTTGGAAAACTTTTTAACATTTCCAAAGCATCATGTTCTCATCTAGCAAAATAGTTGATATGACTCCAAACATTGAAAAATCTCTCATAATGCCCTTTGCTCAATGATCTTTTATGACTAAAGGAATTCTCATGGAATACATAATAGAAAAAAAAACATAGAAAACACACCAGAATTATGGATTTCATAGCCCTGGGTAGTGAGGAACATGAGATCAAAGAACATGGGCTTTGGAATCAGAACTGGCTCTAAAACCCAGATTTGCTTCTTAGTCCTTAAAAAAAAGGTGGGGGGGGGGACTTACTTACCTATTTATTTGTTTGAAAGGCAGAATGACAAAGAGAGATCTTCCATCTGCTATTTTATTCTCCAAATGGTCACAACAGCGGGGGCTGGGCCAAGCCAAAGCCAGGGTCCCAGAACTCCATCTCAGTCTTCCACATGGTGGCAAGAATTCAAGTACTTGAGTCATCATTGCTGCTTCCCAGGTTGCATTAGCAGAGAAATGGATCATAAGCAGCATAGCCAGTTCTTGAACTGACACTCCAATATGGGATGTAGGCATCCCTAATGGTAGCTTAACCCGCTGCCTACCCTGCTACTTAGTACTTAAATAATTGGGAAAGCAATTTAAGAACTTGAAGTCTCAGCTTTCTCATCTAGATAGAGGTCATTGTGCCCACCTTGCAGGGTTGTAAAGGTCAAATGAGATGATATGTATAAGGCACCTGTGCAGCCCAGGGCTCAACACTTAACAGGTACTTTAATGCCCTTTAAATGGTAGCTATTCTGCTATTGAATTTATTAAGTGTGCTTGCAGACTTGGGACTTTGCTCATTTTCTCTATCCTTGGAAGTGGGCATAATTGTTCATGAAGAATTTCACCATGGGAAAGTATAGTACGAGAACAAAATAAAAGAAAGTTTCTCTTAGATATATACATTCTTGAGAGTTTTACATGTTCATTACTTTGTTGTCCAAAAGTTAGTATCCATCCAACTTTCTTCCCTATCATGGATGAGTTTAATTTTTAGTGATATCCAAATGGAAAAATTTCTAAGACCCAGAGACTCTAGAATCCGTGTGGACTTCAATATCTGTAGTTCTGAATTTTTATATAAATTATACAGATTCTGGCTGGCGCTGCAGCTCACTAGGCTAATCCTCCGCCTGTGGCGCTGGCACTCCGGGTTCTAGTCCCGGTTGAGACGCCGGATTCTGTCCTGGTTGCTCCTCTTCCAGTCCAGCTCTCTGCTTTGGCCCGGGAGTGCAGTGGAGGATGGCCCAGGTCCTTGGGCCCTGCACCCGCATGGGAGACCAGGAGAAGCACCTGGCTCCTGGCTTCGGATCAGCGCAATGCGCCGGCCGTAGCAGCCACCTGGGGGGTGAACCAATGGAAAAAGGAAGACCTTTCTCTCTGTCTCTCTCTCTCACTGTCTAACTCTGCCTGTCAAAGAAAAAAAAAAAACATATGCAGATTCCAAAGATGGTGGGGGAATTGATTTAAAAATATATTGATTCAGTTGGCAGTGCATATGCCCCAAATCTACATGCAAGTAGAAGACTTGATTGCTAGAAAAACTAGAAAGGTAATTTAGCTGAAAGAGGTGCTGTTTTATTTTTATTTTTATTTTTTTGCTGTTGATGATGACAAGAACTTTGAGCACATAAAATATCTCTTGAACCACACAGCTAATGCTGAAACAATACAGAGCTCTAAAAAGAACTTCTTTGTATTCTTGATTTTCATCTCAGAAAATAGAGGAAAAATCAAAGGAAAACTCATCCTCAATCATTTGTTCGTTCTAATCCTCACATTCATCTTTTCTGAACCTATCAGATAGGCCTCATTTTTCAGTGTTGATTTTGATTATTTCAGCCAAAAGGTTCTGATGGCTCTTTGCTGTCTTTTTGGTGTGGTCTATCTGCCTCACAGCTGAGGCCCTTTTCCATCTAGGTACAATGATCATACACCACATACAGATGGAAGTTCCATGAAGGCAGGGCTTTGTTTGCTTTCTACAGTGCTAAAAACCCGGTACCTAAAGCATAGTAGAGTGTAAGTATCTGTTGGATGGATGGACAGATGGCTGGATAGCTCACAGTTTGGTTTTAGGAACGTGGTGAAGGAGGCAGATGTTGACAATAATTTGGGCTTATAGCTTCAAAGTGTCAGACTGATGGTCAAATGCTCTCAAATACAGTCTACTTCTAAATATATTTGTCATTTATAAAATTATACTAATGTTTATATTTCTGTAAAGTGATAGCAATAAAATATTAATTCTGTATAACTGACCAGATGTTATGGCTATCTCTTGTTTCCCCATGGTTTCCCCAGTGTTCAGGAAAACATTTGGCAAATACTATTAAGTTCTCAATAATTAATTGTTGAGTGAATAATAATTAATTGGACTGCCCATTTATAAATACATTGAATTGTTTGTCAGTATTCTGAGATTAGGCAATAGATTCTGTCTTTAATCCATGGATTCCTCTCTTTTTTCCTTGTATATCTAGTTAATTATATAATGGTTGACTTAGGGAGTGGAAAAAAGTGCGTTACCTCCTCAGTAGATTTGTTTTTAATTGGCTATTTGTCTTTATACTGTACAGAATGTCCTTTCTTATTTACAACTCTTGCCCTGTTCACCTAGATGGCAATACATGTGTTTTGTCCTCATCAGACACAGCTAGAGGGACTTACTCTCTTACTGTCTGCCTTTTCCTCTGTGTTTTAAGATGGACTGAAAAGCTGACTTTTGATAAACCAAAGAATGGCTTCTTAACCTCCCAGCCTTCGTTTCTTCTTCCTTCCTCATTGCCTGCTTTGATCAGGTCACTTGACGTTTATCAGAGTGAGGAAGTGTTTAGTTACTAATCTGAAGGAATGAGCTAGTTTGAATAAATAGACTTCTAATACAGAGGAAATGGGGATCCCATGGAACTCAGGTTGGGAAGTACAGCCAGATCTAGACCCTGGAAGTTGGCAGTACCCTGAATTTCCGCATCTCTGTTCGTGCTCTGTTCTCCTCTCAGCAAACCAGCTCCTCTTCAAGGTCCTTGGCTTTTTCTCTCGAATGCCCTTGCTCCCGTATGTTGACATAGCCTCAACTTGGGTAACAGTTTTACAGAACCTTACAAATCCAGGGTCTGTCACCATCTGACTGACTTTTTGTAGTTATTTCAAAATATCAAGAGAGAGATTCTCACTGTCCCAGACTGAGTGAGCTATTGGTTCACAGTCTCATCAGCTGTAGCCATGGAGGCATGTATGTGTGGTGGATGGGGTGGAGAGCCAGGGCTAGGACCAGCAGGTCCTGGAAGAAGGAATATTTGGCAGTGGTTGGAGGGTGGGGCTGGGTAGATAATGAACATCTCCAGGATGTGTGCACTGTGTGAATTCTGTCATGTGAAACTTTCTATTTCCTAAACCATCATCCTGTTAGAACTGTGTTTAAATTTTTTTTCCAACTTTCTTTAAAAAAAATTATTTATTTGAAAGTCCAGAGTTACACAGAGAGAGGGAGAGACACAGAGAGAGAAGGACAGACAGAGAGCTCTTTCATCCTTTGGTTCACTCCCCAGATGGCCACAACAACCGGGGCTGAGCCAGGTCAAAGCTAGGAGCTAGGAGTTCTTCCAAGTCTTCTTGGGTAAGGCCTCAAGCCTCATGGACCATCTTCTGTTGCTTTCCCAGGCACTTCTGCAGGGAGCTGGATTGAAAGTGGAGCAGCCAGGACTCAAATCAGCACTCATATGGGATGCTGGCATCACATGTGGTGGCTTAATCTGCTATGTCACAATGCCAGCCCCCAAGTCTTTCTCATTCTTATAAATTACCTTTGCTAAAAAAAAAATCCTGGTTTTTTTTTTCCATTTGAATCATTTATTTGAAATTGGAATGTTATAGAGTTGAAGCATGTGACTATTTCTGTGCTCTTTTGTACATAAAAGTGTTCTATTTACTTTAAAGGCCACTAGTAACATTGGTTCCTCATTTCAGGGTTTTCTGGAAACTGTATAGGCTGTGGAGAAAGAGGATTTCGGTATTTCACAGAATTTTCCAACCACATTAACTTGAAGCTCACCACCCAGCCAAAGAAGCAGAAGCACTTAAAGTACTACCTAGTCAGAAGCTCCCAGGGTGTACTGTCAAAAGGACCTCTTATCTGCTGGAAAGGTAGTCAACCTCCAGGAGGGTGAAGGGAGGGAGTGGAGATTTTATGCTGGTGACAAGTGACCCATCCAGGGTTCAGGGTTCTGATGTGAAATAGGTAAATATCTCAAATCCAGAAGGCCATGCAAAAATTCAAAGCCTTCTGGTAGGTTATTTGGCTCACTCTTTTCTTTAAAAAAAATTTTATTTTAATTTTTGTTTGAAAAACAGAGAAAAAGAGACAGATCCTCCACCTGCTGGTTCAGTCCCCCAAATGTCCACAACACGCAGGGCTGGTCTAGGCTGAAGCCAGGAGCCTGGGAGGAACTCTATCCAGGTCTCCCATGTGGGTGGCAGGGACTCAAGTACCTGAGCATTATTTGCTGCCTCCCAGGATGCACATTAGCATGAAACTGTACCTCAGGCAGCTAGGACTCAAACCAGGCATTCTGATACAGGATGCAGGCATTCCAAGTGCAGACTCAACTGCTATGCCAAACACCTGCCCCTTCTCCTTACTATTTTTAACAGACACTGTGAATGTTTAGGAAAATACACGTGTCTCTCGGAAAAGGCATGCAGCTCTCAGAGAAGAAAAATGGACCGTTTCTAGCTCTTCTATCATTTACAAAGGACCTCAAAGCCTTAGTACCTTGGTCAGATGCTTTTTAAATTTTTGTTTACTTATGTAAGATTTATTTGTTTGAAATGCAGAGTTACAGAGATAGGGAGACACAGAGAGAGGGAGAGATTTCTTATATCTGCTGACCCCAAATGACCACAACAGCCAGGAAAGGGTCAGGCCAAAGACAGGACCCTAGAACTCTATCCAGGTCTCTGACATGGGTGTCAAGGGCCCAAGCACCAGGGCCATCCTCATTGCTTTCCCAGGCACATTAGCAGCGAGCTAGATTGTAACTGGAGCAGCAGGGACTTGAACCGACACTCATGTGGGATGCTAGCATCTCAAGCAGCAGCTTAACTCACCAAGCCACAACACAGGACCCAGATGCTATTTTACAATTTTTATTTAAATTAGTAGTTGTCAAGCACCTGGATTTTTCTATTTTGATTAGACCTAAGCATACTTAGAAAAAGTAATACTTTCTTCCTAGTATCTGGGAAAATGTGCAAATAAATTGACAAAGTTTTGTTTCTTTTAAATTGGGAAGGGCTTATTTGTAGAAATGAGTCTAGTTGAAATTTCATGCCTTGGTGTGTTAGATAGGAATTGCAGATTTTTGTATTCATTATTCTAATGCAGTATTCTAATCCTTATTTTATCGAGCCATTTCTTAGATGCTGACATTTTTTGCCTCCACATAGTAATGCCTTTAATATTTCTGTTTGCTATCTATATACAGTTTTTACATGACCATGAAAAAAATAACATAGCAAATCCAAATTACAACTGCAGATTTGTCTGTGAGTCACTCATTACAATTACTCCTGGTTTCAGTGGAAGTGGCATTATATCATTTCCTAGAAAATACCTACATGTTCCAAGCCAGGTATCATCAAAACTTAAAGCTTGCAACTACTGAATACTAAGCATGATGAATTATAGATAACTCTTTATGCTAATAAAGTCTAAAGAACTCTTCTCCAGAAAGATCATTTTTAATGTCATAAGCCCTGGTAATAGAGTAAAAACGAGGAGAGATATCACCTCTCTACTTTTTAAGCTTTCATGTTAGTTACATAAGATACTTTCATCTTTTTATTTAGTGTTCAATAACAATTCATCTTTCTAGTACAGAATAACATTTGTTAGAAATACCTCATATTTATAGCAGTTGCTGTTTTGGGATGGAAATTGGAATTGAAATTGTATATAAACATATATAAAAGCATGATATCAATATGCACACCTATATGCATATTACCTATAAATAATGTGGATATTTGCTCCAAGGCCAACATGCAATAACTCCTCACAGAAGGTCGCAGCATAGAAGGTTGAGAAAACTACCTCCACCCCCTGCATGTATCTGATAAAGTTAGAAACTCTCTAAGGGACCCTTTTAATTAACTTCAATATATATAACCATTTATATCCTTTTTCCATGTACTGCTTTTCAGTTACAGCCCTCCAGCCCCTATCTCCCTGAATCAGCACAGGTACTACGAAAATATCATGCCAGAGACCCACGAGTATCAGCCTACTTCATCTGAAGCTTGGCATTGTATGATCAATAATCACCTTGAGTGTTGTCTGTTTCCTTAGTAGGAACTCAATATATTGAAAATTTGAGCCTTTCTAATTTTTCTCTTCTGTTTACACATTTTTCTTTTCCTCTCTGTTTGGACATAAATTAAGACTGAGTAGAAAATGTTGAAGGCAGCCTAGACAGAATCTGGGTTACTATCTGTACTTAAATCAATCCTAACAGGAGGTTAACTCACGTTTGGAAAACTTGTTGGGTTTTTATAAATTATTGATCCTTCAGCTCCCCTCTTTCTCATAAAACTAGCATGATTACAGAGGTTATGAGTATTTTCCCCCCGGGAACCATGGTGAACAAAGATCTGATTGTGCTTTGCCTTCTAAACATGACATCTGGCCCAAGGAAATGCTCCCTGGCTGGAGTGTTCTGTTGGAGTTAGGATTAGAGGTAAGGGAGCTCCACGAAGAAAATGGCTACCACTTCAGGAGCAGCAGTTAGCTTTACAGATTTTGTGAATTGTGTCTCCTTTTAACAGAATGTCAGTTTCTTTATATAATGTGATTTTTACTCCTTTCTAGAATGTAGAAGCCGACAATCCTCTGCTGCTTGCCACTCCATTAAACCAAACTCTTCAGTATCATCAACTGTGACCACAGAAAATGGAACAACCAATGGATACAAATCAGGATTCACTCAGACAGGTATAGAGTATATTCTTTGGGTATTTGAAGCAACAGATATCTATTTAATGAAGCATTTTTAAGCTTACTGTTGGCTGGTGTATATAGAATTATTTTTACATAAAGGTATTACTTGAGTATTGGAATTAGTACTAAGTATTGAGATGGGTCAGTCTGTGGATGACCAAGACCCAAGTTTCAACAGTCTCACTAATGTTAAGCATAGGATAGAGAAAGGAGCTGACAACAGGTAGGAAATTTAGTTCAAGTATTGGACCTGGTGTAGACGAATCAGACGGTAGGCAGTAAGTGGAAATCCAGGCATCCTAGTTATCAAGTGTCAAGTGTTTGGGGTTTACTCATGAAGACTGAAATCCCAGGGTAGAGCTCTAACTGAAGTTCACAGAACAACACAAGCGTACTTCAAAAAGTTGTTGAAAAATGGAATTGAAGCATAAGTTTATTTTGTTGCAAAAAAAAAAAAAGAGAGAGAGAGAAACCTATGTATTGTTTCTGTGTGCTACCCATTTTCCATGAATTTTCTGAAGACTTAATAAATAGGGAGTGGTGCACCAACTAGGATACAGAGATCCTAAGGTAGGATTGTGGATTATAAGGGATGCAATCAGGATCTGCATTTTAGTGGTACAAGACAGGGACTTGATTACAAATAACCAAATAAAATCTTAGTGCCCATAATTTGATTGTTATATCAAGGCTGGATCAGCAGAATAGCCAATTTGATACTGAGCAGGTCATCTACTAGTCTAAGGCTTCTAAAAATTCCTCCAGTGTAGGTCCCAGCCCAGGGCCTGAGGTCAGGATGAGACTCCAGGTGGGACTTAATGGTCCCAGGTGGCTGCAGGGCTGGAGGGCTGTAACCAGAAAGATCACTGCAGATGGTTTTTGAGAAAATTCCACAGAACCAGCCTGTGTTATATCTTAGGTAAGAAGGAAAGTATTTTAAAAGCTTTTATGACTTTGTTTTCCAGTTCACCTGTTTTTTACTGGTCTGATATGTACACTTCATAGCATAATTAGCTTTGCCAGTGCCTATTCAACCACAAATGAAAAAGGAAGCTGTCTTCATTCACTACTTAGCATACCTCTTTCAGATTTATGTGAAATTCTCATGAGCTGGTAAATTGTGTCCACTTTTTGTTCCAGGATGAAATGGTTATTAGAATATGTTAGGAACAATAGCAATGACAATAAACCTACCTTTATTTGAGGCATTTCTTTTTTTTAAGATTTATTTTTATTTATTTCAAAGTCAGAGTTATACAGAGAGAGGAGAGGCAGAGAGAACGAGAGGTCTTCCATTCGGTGGTGCGCTCCCCAACAGGCTGCAAAAGACGGAGCTGCACTGATCCAAAGCCAGGAGCCAGGAGCTTCCTCTGGGTCTTCCCACCTGGGTGCAGGGGCCCACGGATATGGGTCATCTTCTACTGCTTTCCTAGGCCATAGCAGAGAGTTGGATCAGAAGTGGAACAGCCAGGACTTGAACTAATGCCCATATGGGGTGCCAGCACTGCAAATGGTGCCTTTACCCACTATGCCACGGAACCAGTGCCTTGAGGCATTTCTTGATGTGTCCCTACACTCGGCTAAGTTCACTTCTTCCTGGATATAAAAGTCCAGCCTTTAAACTGTCTAGGAGAATTAGAGACTGTGAACTATGAGGAGAGACCACTTCTGTTTAGAATAAATGAGAGAACATCACGTCACTGTGTATTCAAGAAAGATAAGAGTTGGTATTTGGCTCTCAGCATTGAAAAGTTGGCCTTCATTATGTAACATTCTCTTCTGGAATATGATTTTAGTGATTTAATTGATTCCAAGATACATTTTCCACCATTATATCTTAGAACTATGAGGTGTAATTTAAAAAATAATGTTAATAATTTATATTTACTTTATTACAACAAAAACTTATCAAGTATCTTGTATTCTAAGAACCTTACTTATATGATGCTATAAGGCAGGGTTCCAGTACTTGACTGATGACCACAGTGACTTAAAAATTGCTCATATAAGATATTAGAGAATTATAAAACATTTCTTCCAAGAGGGAGAGATAGATACATGCACACACACAAAGATACCTCAAAAAGTTCATGGAAAATGAAATTAAAAAAGAAATATATTTTGGTGCAAGATTTTGAATGCATGTTTAGCTTTTTCATAATAAACATTGTTACAGACTTTTTGAAAACCCCTTGTAGAACCAGTTGTACCTGAAAATGAAAAACAGTTCAATTTTAATGAGCAGTAATACAATTATGATTGTATCAGGAAAAATGTTTTGAAAACAAATTTTGCTCTGAAAGACGAGATCAAGATTCAAGCCTTAGCAAGGAGTCCCCCAGTGTGACAATGAGACAGAGATGAGGGGGGAAGCTGAAGAGTATGGGCCACATCAAAGTGAACACAAGTGGCCAACTATTGGGCCAATATTCCTTTGTGCCCCTTGTTGAGGGTGTAAGGAAATTAGTTATTAACAATTTTAGCTATAATCCAGAGAACTCAATGGAAGAAAGTGGCTTTGTAAATGAGACTTTGCATCTAAAACTATTTTGTTAGTAAACTGTGTGTATAGATTCCTCAACAATAATTTTCTTTCTCCTGGTGCTTGTTGACCATCATAGGCTGTAAAAATTTCATGTTGGCACTAGGCTATGATTATAAACATTGGAATATAGAGCATCTCCTACTGATAGTCACCGTTCAGTCGAGATTCCTTTCTCCTTAACCCTAATCTGCAGTCAGTGACTGCCTGTAATCGTTTTTGAGCCAGAGCTGTGGGTCCATATGTTGCCTAGTATTTGAAGAAGGGATTAATTTACTATTCACACAGCTTTATCTTGAGTTACACTTGCCAAGCTCTGGGTGTTCTGTTTTATCTGGCTTGCCCCTTGTCCCTTGAATATTTTCTCGTAATGTGTTTATGTCATGATAATTCATCAGATTTTAGTCAACAATCCCAATGGAAAACCACTTTTGCTAAAGAAAGCTGTACCTTTACCACCTACATTATACACATAGCCTCACTGCCCCCACCCCTACCCCCTAACCTCCCCCCCATATAAACGTGTTGTGTTTAATCAGGAGAATGCAAGAAAAGGTGAAAAAAAAAATCTTGGCTTAACACAAGATCTTGGAAATTTCTGTACTTTCTTCTAAAGCAGAATTGGGGGACATCTGACCCCGGGCCTTATAAGGCCTGCAAAATCATTTGGTCTGGCCCTGCCAAGGCCACCCTAGGCAGGACTCAAAATTCAGTAATTCTATAGCAGGCTGATTTTTAAGCTGATGGTTCTGTATGGTCCACAAATAGTGCTATAAATATCCAATGACCCTTATCAGAAAAATGGTACCTAACACCTATTAAAAAGGCCTTATTGTTGTAATATCTGCAGTTAAGTATGTGAATGATTTTGAATTAATTTTTCTGTGTGGTGAGGTGGGAGTCCTGGAGAGAAGCAAAGACAAGCATGACATTGGATTTGTTGTGGAAACTGTAAATAAGAGTGGAGCAAGACCTTTGCTGAAAGCAAAGACATTATCTGTCTAGAATTCTCTGCTCAGCAGAAATGTTTGAAAAGTAAAGGTGAATCAGACATGTTTAGGGACAAGTATAGTGGGTAAGATACCGTTTGGGGCCCCTGCATCCTGTATCGGTGTCTGGATTTGAGTCCCAGCTCTACTCCTGATTCCAGTTTCTGCAAACGTGCACCTTAGGAGGCTGAAGGCGATGGCTCAAGTAGTTGGGTCCTTGCTACTTATGTAGGACCCCAAATGAAGTTTTGGGTTCTTGGCTTCAGCCTGGCCCAGCCCTGGTTGTTGCAGGCATTTAAGGAATGAACCAGCAGATAGAAAATCTCTCTCTGCCTTTCAAGTAAATGAATGAAGACGTTTTAGACAAAAGATGAAACAATTTACCACCCGCAGAGCCACTGTACAAGAATTGTTAAGGAAGTAATTCAGGTAGATGGATAATTACACAGATGAAAATCTGAATCTGTATGAAGTATTTGAAAACCACAGAAAATAGTATCTGCATACAGTTCTTCCTCTTACTTAAGTCTATTTAAAAGACACTTGACTTGGGGCTGAGGTTGTGGCATAGTGACTAAAGCCACCACCTGCAAGACAGGCATCCCATATGGATACTGGTTCAAAACCCAGCTGCTCCACTTTTGATCCACCTCCCTGCTAATGTGCCTGGGAAAATAGCAGAAGATGGCCCAAGTGCTTGGTTTCCTGCACCCATGTGGGAGACCTGGAAGAAGCTGCAGGCTCCTGGCTTCAGCCTGGCATAGCCCCAGCCATTCCAACCATTTAAGGAGTGATTAGCAGATGGAAGATATTTCTCTCTCTCTCTTTCTTGATCTCTTTCTCTTTCCCCCTCTTTCTATGTAACTCTGACTTTCAAATAAAAGTAAATCTTTTTTAAAAAAAAGACAGTGGACTTATACTAATATGACAACAATATATTGTGAGGTTTATAATTTGTACAAAACTAAAGTGCATGCAGAAACATAAAGGCTAGGAGGGAAGATACATAAGTATTCCATCGTAAAGTTCTTTTATAACAATTTCCCTGGATCCAAGGGGGACACATTCCAAGACCCAAGGTGAATACTTGAAACTGCAGATAATATTGAACTCAGATAGTACTGAGACAAACATTGTGATACTAAGATGATTGACATAATAACCAAGACAGCTACTAAGTAATTAAACAGGAGGGGAGCATATTCAACAAGAGGACAAGAGATGATGGATGTCTTGGAAGAGATGAAGTAGAATGGTGTAAGATTTCATCATGCCACTCAGAACAGCAGTCCACTTAAAATGTGGCTAAAGGAATTGTTCATTTCTGAAATTTCCATTTAATATTTTTAGATTATGAGTAACTGAAACCATGGAAAGCAAAATTGTGGATAAAGGGGGACTACTGTACTGTTCATGAAGTTTTTCAGCATCACTGGAGTTTTGCTATGTTAAGATATATGTTAAAAACTCTAAAGCAGTTAACTAAAATTGTGGGGAGCAACTGAGACTAGACTAAGTTACTGGAATTAAGACTTATTCTATGCATCTGCTCTCCCACAATATGGTGCTGGGAGAGGAGGAAACAGCTTCTACACAGCTGCCTTTCGCCAATTTGACTGATAAGCTGCAGGAGCTGATCCTGCTCCTGATTGGAGGAGAGCAGCGTGCTCGGCGTGTGGGTAGCAGAGTTGGGATTGGTGGAAGAGGACTATAAAAGAGGAGAGAGACAACATGCACCAGGAACATCTGAAGGAACACCTGAGCAGCCCCCGAGAGAGCCGGCCAGCGGTGTGCCGCTCCTCTGCGGAAGCGGGGAAAGTGGCAGGGGGTACCGCCCCTCCACAGAGGTGGAGGGGTCAGCAGCCAACCCGGGAAGGACCAGCAGCAAACCCGGGAAGGGCCGAGCAGACGAAAGAACAGCGCAGGTTCCTGTGTCGTTCCTCCGCGAATGGGGGAGCGACAAAAATAAACAGCAATTTTAGTTAATAAACATTAATAGAGACAAAATGAAATCATAAAAAATTGGTTAATTCAAAAGAAGGGTGAAAGAGGAAAAAAAAGGGACAAAATATAGATAGGACAAGTATAAAGCAAACAGCAAGACAGTAGGCTCAGACCTAATTACATCAAAAATCAAATTCAATCTAAGCACCCTATATAAAGGCAGAGATTGTCAGATTGGGTGAAAAAGAACCAATTCTATGCTGCCTATGTGAAATACAACTAAAATATAAAGACACAAGTAAATATAAAATTATTTTTTAAAAACTACAGAGCTAACACTAGTCAAAAGAAAGCTTGAGTGGCTATATTAAAATCTGGCAAAACAGGCCGGTGCCGCGCCTCACTAGGCTAATCCTCCGCCTTGTGGCACCGGCACACCGGGTTCTAGTCCCGGTCAGGGCACCGGATTCTGTCCCGGTTGCCCCTCTTCCAGGCCAGCTCTCTGCTGGGGCCAGGGAGTGCAGTGGAGGATGGCCCAGGTACATCCTTGGGGCCCTGTACCCCATGGGAGACCAGAATAAGCACCTGGCTCCTGCCATCGGATCAGCATGGTGTGCCGGCCGCAGCGCGCAGGCCGTGGCGGCCATTGGAGGGTGAACCAACGGCAAAAGGAAGACCTTTCTGTCTCTCTCTCTCACTGTCCACTCTGCCTGTCAAAAAATAAAAAACAAATAAATAAATAAATAAAAATAAAAAATAAAAATAAAAATCTGGCAAAACAGACTTCGGAGCAAAGGTTAAACAGGTAACTTCAAAATGATAAAGGGGTCAAGTAATCAAGAAGACACAACAGTCCTAAACATGTATGCACCTAATTAAAGAGCTTTGAAATACACAAAGCTAACACTGATAAAATTATTTTGAGAAATACATAAACCAACAACGTTAGCCATG